TCAGCACTTAGGGTCCTTCTCCCAGTGAGTGCCTAAACCACTAAGCTGGTCATATTTTCTCTCTTCTCCAACAATTATTGAATTATTCCATGCAAAGTAGAACCATGTTGACAGGTGGGACTAGCAGTGCATCCCTTGATCCCATCACCAGAATAAACTGGAAATTGGTAAGGAGGACCCTCTATGAGAAACTGGGAGATAACTTGAGTGAATTCAAACACAAGGAGAGAACTGAAAGCAGGCCTCACACATCCAGGATGAATGTGGTAACTCCTGAGATACTAGCTAAAAGGCGGGAAAAGTACATCCTTCCTATGTTTTGAAAGACAAGGATAGAGCCTGCTTTGTTTTTGAAAGAAAAAGCTCAGTTATCTAACTCCAGGAGAAGGCCTTGCCTTTAGCATTCCTATCCAGATAGGGCTCCTATACACATTCACAGAGGCTACTCTGACACACTGTGATTACAGCATGTTGGAGCAGACTCGATTAATCAAGTCTGCTGGAGCATGGTAATTACTGTGCTCCAGCAGACTCCAGCACCACATGCATCAGTACCCCATGCTAAAAAATGGAGGCAGGCGCTTTAAATTAAAGCTTGTTCAATGAGCCTTAGTTCAAAGCACCCCACTGCCATTTTCAGCATATGGATGCCAATACATGCGACGCTCTGGGCCCTTTAAATAGTGAGGCTCTCAGAGCTGCGCTAATTAAAGCACCACCCTCCTGTCTCCCGGAGCATGTCTATAAATGCCCATAGTTTACACAGATCTATGCTCAGTGTACTCAAATTTGGAAATCCCATTATGAGATACTTAAATCTCCTCATGGGAGATGAGGCATATAACTCAGGACTGTGGATTCACCTCTAGGGGCCACATGGTGGTCCCTAAGTTCCTTTGAGGATCTAACCCACGTTACTTCATGTGGAGAACAATGGACGTTCTAGTTCTCTGCTGCCCAAGAACAATGAACATAGGACCCCAAGTGGGTTCCTGCAGCCATAACTACTTGAACAAAGAAAGGTAAGTTGGATATACAAAATGTAAATTGCTAGGAAATAAGAGTCACTAGCAGTCTTTACTGGGAGATTAGAGTACAACAGGAAGAAAAACAAGTAGTAAGGGATAAGTGATCAAGCACATACAAAAGAAACATTGTTTAAACATAACAGCATGATCAATCTATTTACTATATCTAAGGGTCCTGTCTCCATTGTATCTTAGGCTATGTTAGGCCGACTGTACAAGACTAAGCACTTTTCATTGGCTTCAGAGTTAGTATATGGAGTGAAAGGGGTCTACTCAAACTTTCTCAGTGTAAGCAGTGGAATAGCTTGGGGGGGGAGGGGATTGATATTCCAGTTCAGCCAAATATTCCTCCCTGGATTTTCTGTTCTTTTTTCTAACCATTGGGGCTGCAAATGTTACAGAAGCCTCAAATTGCACATTTTGCAATGGGAGAGGAGGCCCAAGGCAGGCCACAAGCATTATGAATGTTCTGAGCATACAGCTTTGATTATACTCTGTATTTTGTCTAAAACTAAATTTAAAATAAGCTATGCAATTTTATATAGCACTGAACATGGCCCACAAATTGTATGAGGAGGAATTACATGAAGAACAATGCATCTCAATGATTCTAATATCTGTATGAAAAAAACACAATATAATAAGGTGAATTTGAAATGCAGGGCAGTAGGGATATTTATTTAAAAATGGTAAATATTTTTAGTTTGAGATGAAATCAGTAGTGAAATATCATATAGTTTTATTGTCTATTTTTTTTTTTAGTATTGGTGGTATAATTTATTTAGGAGTTACCTGCAATGTACATTCCTATACTTAAAATATGATAACCAAAAATATAGTATTCACGTGTCTATGTAAAATATACAGAGACAGCAGTGCCAAACAGCCTTTTGCGACAGTCTAAAAGAATATCATTAAGTTTTACTGTATACTTACATTTATGGCTCTGTGCCAACTCTGGCTTTCTGTAAAAATCATTTCAAGTATAGAATTATGCTGTTTGCTTGCAGCAACATCACAAGAACAGTAGTGAGCCATATGTTGCTACTTAGCAACTTAGTCTACAAGTCCCAAAGCGTGTACTGATTTGAAAATTGAACAGAAATGATAATTGTTGAGTGATGCTGTGAGGCAAGTTGTCTTGGATTACCAAGCTATGCAGATGTTTGATGTTATGCAGGAAAAGGAACAAAACTATATTTTTCCTGTTTGACAGCCAAGTTTTTATTTATGTTAGCCTAGAGGGGATAATTTGATTAAAAACCATTAAAATAATACAAGGTGATGTTTCCCTGAATAGAAACACATCCCAGCAACAAGACAGACAGACAACAAAAAAACAGAAGCGGTACGTTCAGGTTTCTAAGACTGTTAGTCACATTTTTATGTCCCAACTTATTTCATTCTGCAATTTGTAACATTTTGAAGATTTTAAATTTCTTGAGTTCCTTCATTTCAAGAAATTTTAGAGACCAAAGTTAAATTATGTAAAGGTAATTTTTTAGTTGCTGCCCAGAATGCCCATAATTCAAAGATGATGGCAACGTTATTTTTGAAAGAGTTTTTTCCTTGGAAGACAAAAATCATTTACACTTAACACAGTTGGTTTCAATGCTATTTTATAATGAAATGGTCTCTAAGATATAAACACTTTTCAGGAATCGGGCTTTAGAACATGTAAAAGAAGAATGAAATATTAAAACTAGCAATGTTATCTTTGTTTATTATGGAGCTTAAATTCACTAAATTATATACAGATGCATATAAATATAACAACAAAAGAAAGTCATTCTTATGTATATAATGTGAATTTGCAATTTTTTATTCAAAAAACTGTTTAAGACAGATGTAATGATTCTCCAAAAGGTAGCAGCTGCTTTATAACAGCAATCATTCACAGAGTTTGTATTTCTACTGTTTCAAACAAATTCAATTAGCCCTTGAACTTCAAAAGCCTTTAGGCATAAATGAGATTATACTAGCTTGCTTTAATCTAATAGTAATACTAAACTTGTCAGTACAGTTTTTGGATTAATGGTTAGAGAAAAATTAATAATACAATTTTTCTTTTTTTAATCAAACATCTCTATTCAAAACTACCTCTGGATCTTGGAGGGTTGTTAGCTGAATGAGTTCAAACATACAAGAATCCTAAATGCAACACACAATGTCCAAAGGCATTCTTATAGTAACTTCAGCTGAAAATAGGGAAATGATGTGGTAGGACCATTCACTTTTTAAAAGATGGCTTTTTTGACTGAACAAGCTGATACAGCCCAGTTGATATAACACATAGATTAAAATGAAAGAAAGAGAATGAATATTAAAATTAAATTTGAGTAGGTAAGTATGGCTATCTACCATTCTATAAGGACATTTAGCTCTCAGCATATTGTTAATTTTCAAGACTGTTCATTCCTAAATTATGTGTGATAGCTCATCTACAGGCAACAAAGAGGTACAAAAACTAAGTTCTCACCTACTAAGAACTCTTTACCTTGACTCATAATTCCTGTCAAGCTGAGGTATATCAGACTGGACACTACTACTGATGGGATACTGGAGAAGAGAGACCACCAGTCTGATTCCTCACGGTAATTCCAATGATCTATCCCTCTGACTCTAACATGGAAGAGATAACTAAAATATGTGAAAAGTCAGCCAGCAGAATCAGAAGTTAAATTCTCCCTCAGTATATGGATGTACACACCCCTTGCTCAAAGGAAGGTAATCAGTTGATTGCTGGCCAGTTAACTAATTGACATCCTGCCAAATTTAACAATTTGCCAATTAAATGATGAAAAGACTCGACAGCCCAAATGAACTATATTAGCTCTCAACATTAAGCACCTTCACCAAATGTAATAAAGTACAAGGCATGATTTTTATTAAGCTTTTTCCTAATTATGCTTACTATTAATTAAGGCTACGCAGACTGGATGATGTCTAGTGGTCCATACCGTAAATTAGTTTCCTCTCCTACCCAATATATTTAGCCTGTTGAAAACTAACAAAGTTGAATAGTTCATTAGCACATTGATCCTCTTTGCCTGCAAAGGCATTTGCCCAAGCTGGTCAAGGCCTTGGCAAAAATAAACAATTAAAATATAACAATATGTAAGTTTATATGATTTATCCATGTTATTGACATGCTTAAAACTAAACCTCCAGCATGCAATTTCTACTGTTCTTATTGTAATGTATGTCAGGCTTCTGTGTCAACAGACTGATACAGTGGCATAGACTGTGCTAGTTTATTGTTTTTGTTACACATGCAAGCAAGCAAACATTGAAAATACCCGTTTCTACAAACATGGGTAATTTAAAATTCCAGTAATTAGGATAAAGTATTTCAAGATATGGTCATAAACTACCTTTTAAACTGTCTTTGGTTATGTAAAAATGTTTCCTATGAACTGTAATAAGAACTCAAAAAATCCATATCAAGAACCCTTGTTTTAAACCTTTTGAACTGCAAGTAGCAGCAGCAGACTCTGAGAGAATCATTACCCTAACACTAATGGTAAAATGCTGGCAATGTTGCTCAGCCATATGATTTTTGTAAAAAATGCAATTTTTCAACTATAACTGGCCTAAGAGTGATAATTAAAGCTATTTGTGACTTGCATAGCTTATAATGATTAACTTCTCTGCAGTCAGATAAACAAATAACCTGCACCTGTAAAGACTTTATTTCCTGAAGGTAAAACAACTGTTTAGGAAAGATCATGCTGGCAAAACAGCTGCTTGCATTCTGGAGAGGAAACAAGGTAGTATCTTTCAACAAACGCCAACTCTGATGTTTTATCAGCTCTATCTCATTAACTGGAAACAAGGCTTAAATGCTTTGTTTATAAATTATGATTATTCCTGATTGCAGCAGTTACTGATCGTGCCACTCATTTGCAATGCAACTCTTTGAATTTGTTTAATTACAATTTGAAACAAGGCAGAGAAGATTAATTAACCCACCTGGCTGGCTGGCACATAGTCCTGGCTTGGCTCTGTCATACTCATATACATGTTCTCACCGTCAAACTGTGAATGAAATAATAGTAAACATTCAGCAATCTTGAATATTCTTCAGTATCAACTGAAAAACAGTAGCCATAAAATAATATTACAGCCTGCTTTGGAAGACTTGTAATTGCATATGCGCATCTTGTCTTTGATGTTCCCGTTGTCATCCTTACTGACCCTGGATGTCAGTGATTTGGAGTAATTAGTGCTCTAGTAATTACAGCAAGCAAGCAAGAAATGAATGGTTTCCTTTCATCTACAATCTGTTTTAAAACAAAATGGCTCATTCTGTGCACCATATATACATATTGCTGTTGGTTGTAATGAAGTACTAAGTGAATTGCACAGTTTCTGACAAGAGGAAGATGAAAATGGAAAATGTACTAAAATGCATCTTAATGGATTCCAACTTTAGCTTTTCATAAGAAACAAGTGTTGACTTTCAAAACAAATTAAAACCCACATTAGTGAAATGTCCTCAAAACAGAAATTAAGAAAAAAATTCACAGACAAACATCAGGCATTCGAACCCATGAAATACAGCATTTTCAAAACTGTGGGATATTAAAGGATATTTTGCTTGTTGTATAAACAAAATGAATATGAGCAATTATAATAGTGAAATTGCTTTTCAGTAAGTGTTAAGTAGAATTTTTGAAAATGTTGTGCAAGATTATTTTTTGTCTTTTAAAAATGCATTTACAAAATCAAGATGCAGAAGAGAAGATTAGAACATGAACATCCAGATGGAGTGAAACTGTCAGAATGAAAGCCTGGGCACGTATCATCACAAAGAATCATGCAACCACTATTTTCTTTGAGCTGTGTTATCTGGAAACTGTGCCCATAGAACTCTCCTCAGACTTGTTCAAATGTCAGTGTCAAGTTTGCAATGTAGTAACTATAGTCCTAGTATGCAATCAAGAGGTAGGGAAAACCTTTCCAAGCTTTTGAAATAGAAGTGAACAGCAGCAGGAATCCCCATCTCCCAATCATCAACTGAGAATTTCCAGCTGTTAGCAGGGCTGTTTAAAATAACTTTCACCTGACCCCTTCTGAGAATACTCCAAGTGACACATTTTGGAAGCAGGCCATTATTTTTGGTGATGTAGCAAGCAACGAGTGGCGGAATTTTTAAAAGTGTTCAGCTTTGAGCTGTGTTCCCAGAGAAATCTGTAGTAAAATGTACAATGACATCCATAGGAGCAGGAGTACGCCAAAACTACACATTCTTTAAAATCATACCTGCAATATTTATTATATCCACCAGAGCAGAGAACTGTATTCTCCACAACATAGTCTTAAAGGAGGTGTAAAGTTATGCTGCTGCATACAAATGCTACAATAAGTATAAAATATTTCAAGAATAGAGAGAGGTAATAATCCATGTTAGTCTGATGCTAGGCAGAAGGAAGGGCAAGGTGGCAGCTTATAGACTAAAGCAGGGTAGAGCTGCATCTCACACAACACATGTATACATGCTGTTAATATGGGTGAATAAACTCCGGTACAATTCATGCCAGAGTTTATGGCTTCTACGTGCCACATTTGCATTTGCATGTACAGCCAGGACTGTGACACATTAAGCTGGGGCAGAACAGCCCTGGCTGGCAGGTGGCACCAGGCAAGGCTGTCTGGTGGGGGGGATTGGGGTGACCGCTGCAGGCCCCATGCTTTGGGGGGCCCCGTGGAGTGCCACGGCAACTCTGTGCTGCTGCTGGCTTCACGTCTGGCTGCTGGGCACCCCCCTGGCTGCTGAATCCACCTCCAGTTTCTTTGTGTCCAGGGGCAAGGCCCCACACAGGCTGATTTGCCCTGGGCCCCACATTCTGCTAGGGTCATCTCTGGCCCTGGGGGTGAGCCTGTCATCCTAGGTTTGCTCCAACCTAGCTCAATGTGCAGCAGAGGGGCTGGCTAGGAAACAAAAGTGCTTCAATATGGGGCTAGTCTGCAGGCAGCCCCCACACTGAAGCACCCTTGTGCCCCAGTAAGCCGTGTCAGCATCTACACATGCATTACAGTGAAGTAAATATCTCAACTACAGGACAGTACTCAGTCCTAATAGCACCGTGCATGTAGACAGTGATGTTTTAGTGTGGAGCTAACTAATCAGGTCTTGTGTAGATGACTTCATTTAAATCAGATTTAATCTCCAATCTGCCTTCTGCCTGACTTCAGACTACCATGGCTAACTACCTCAATCACGTTACAGACTACCTCATTCAGAGAGGCATGAGCTTTCATAGGCTATGACCTACCTCAGAGCCTATGGAAGCTCATACCTGCCTAAACAAATTAGTTTATAAGAAGCCACCCTGCCCTGCCTTCTTATATACCAAGCATGTTAGAGCCATATGAATTGGTCGCTACAAATAATACTCATGCCAAATTTTCTATACATTCATTTTTCACAAGCCAATTTTTAATCCCATGAATATATTAGTATTCAAAGTATAGTTTGGACAAAAATATTCCAGGCAATACTTAACCTAATTTAAACCAATAAATAATCATTACTTCCAGGGTGGAGTTGGTCAAAGTAACATTGTATTGCTTCTTCTATTTAACTAAATGGATGAAAACTTTTAAAGTAGAGGGGCACAGAAATGGTCCAGGGCCTGGACAAACAAGATTCACAACATGAAACTTTAAGAGCTCTATTTATTTAATTTGTTGAGGAGAAAGTTAAAAAGTAACCTTTTGATCCTTATATACAGAAAAGGTACTGATAGCAGGGGTCTTTTCAACCTTTCTGACAAGGACATAACAAAAATCCAGTGGCTGGAAGCTGAAGTTAGAAAAAAATCAATCTTGAAATAAGATGCAATTTTCTCACTGTGAGAGTAATTAAACATCAGAACAGTTTACACCAAAGGATGTGATAGTCTCCGCTGCTTGGAGTCCTTAAAATGAGACTAAGTATCCCTTTAAACAGACATTCTTTATAGCCCTGGGAGAAATGCTATAGCCTATGTGTGTAGGATTAGATGGATAGTTATGGTGGTCTCTTCTGGCTGTGGAACCTCTGATTCATCTAAGTCTCATGCTTCATGCTCTTCTCCCACTGGTTTTGGGGAAAAGGGCCTGCACTGCTTTCAATATGCTCCAGTTTTTGTTAAGACATTCAGCTTCTTATTAAGAAGATTATAATACTCAAATTAGGGTTTCAGCTAACTTATCTGTAAGTAGGTTTGACCTTATGGGTGGGTGACTTGGATGACCACCCAGAGCACTCTCGTCAGGCGGGCACCACACAAACACATGCGAGTAGCTCACACTCACAGCCACGCTCTCCCCTCACCCCTCCATGGCCAATCCCTACCCCGGGGCAGGAGGAGCTGTGCCCAGTTCAGCCCACTTCCAGCTGCTACTCAGAAGGACCTGGGCCGGGCACATACAAACAGGGTGATGTCTGCTCCAGTCTACCCACCTTGCTCCCTGTGGAAGCAGGAGATATTTTACAAAGGGGAACCTAGGAGTAGAGGCCCCTAGAAATCCCCTTCCAGGTACTTGGGCAAAGCACATAAACCCAGTAAGGATTGAAGAGTTCTCCTACATCCTTGCAGGAATGGTGGCAGCAGCAGAGTGGCAAGAAAAGCAGGAGACTCAATTTGTAAGTTCCTGCCCTCTCCGCATTGGTGAACGCATAGAAGCCAGTTGTATAACTGGATGTCTAGTATAGACAGAGAGAGAGGGGAGGGGGACAGGAAGATGGAGCATGGAGCTGCGCAGCTGTGAGAGTGAAACAGATGCCGGTGGTGGTGATGAGGGGAGAATCTCTGCGGCCCGGGTGTTTGGAGAACACTTGGCGACAGGTACCTGAGATCCAGGCAAAGCAGTCAGGAGAGAAAGCCCTGTGACACTTTCACTGAGCCGGCTTCGTCATTCCTCATTGGAGCAGGATGAAGCGAGTGGGTACTTAATGCATCAAGTCAAATGACTGGAGAACGGCCGATTCCCAAGAAAGAATTAGGTGCTGCGAGTTGCACCGTTTTTGGAAAGCAAGAACTTTAGCATATAAACAGATCTAGCCTTAAAAACTTGAGGGGATCTTGATGATTTAATTAAATTAACTGGACTAAATTGATTTCCTTAATGATCAATGGATTATGGACAGTTTTTGATTTAATTAATTATTGTTATTGGATCATCTGGTAGAATTAATTAGGCAGTTTACTTTTCTTACAGATTAAGGAATTTTGGATGGATTTTGATTTTCATTGACTTTTGGTTATGTGATTGCCTAGTGGTATTAATTGTACGGACTGATTTCCTTAATGAGCAATGAACTGCACAATTTTGATTGCCCTGATCATTGTTTATTTATCGCTGACTAAGTAGGCGGAAACTTCGATAGGCTGAACATTGGTCCAAGTTGATGACATTCACTCAGAGATCCTATTGATAATAGCAAGTGAGCCAACACTGTGGTTGTTTCTCTTTGCAAGAAGGGAGTGGGACAAACATCATCCTATTCAGTTGGTGTGTGGAAGTGATATGAAGGGAGGTGGAGCCCCACAAAGCACTCTTGTATCTGACCAGAGCAAGACTCCTACTGAGAACCAGGAACCCTCGTAATGGTATACAGAAACAAGGCGTGGCAGGAAAGAGGTGAGTCTGTTCTAGTAAGCGGGACACACTGAGGGTCAAGCTGTCTAATCCTAAAAGTTGGCATTCTGGGGGCTTGAGTTCTTGCTGACTGCAGCACAGGTCATACCTGTGGCACTGCTCACACACCATGTTGCTCCTCCTCCCTATTGGACTGTGCCCTGCCCCCCCCCGCCTCTGCCTGCAGGAGAGCTGCTGACTTGGGGAAGCACCAAAACATAAGTACACCCAGGGCACCATTTTCCCTTAGGATGGTCCTACCTGTAAGAATAAAAATATTCTGTTTCCAAGATGTACAACTGTCTAAATGTATTCTAAGTTTTATTCCATCTTCCCTGAAACATTACAAAACAGCCATATCTGGATATGGGACACTGATAGGGTAAGCCATTGCTCTGATCTTGTGAAGA